CGTTGATGAACTATAAACCATCATTTTACCTAATTGCTCGATGTAGGTGCCTCAATGTGACGCGTACGGCTGCGGCGAGGCACATTAGCTAGGTGCTAATGTGCCTCGCCGCAGCCGCACGCGTCACATTGAGGTAACATGCCATGTAGCATTATTTCAAAATACGTCATTTTCTCGTGTTCCACTGTGCTTCCAGCCCACCGCGGAATTTCTCATTCGAGGGCGCGGCGGAGGCGCTGCAACTGGCCTGGGCGGCTTTCGCACCAGGACCTAATTGATACAGTGTTTCACTGCTATGCTGTCTAAATTGGGCTAACTATGAAAAACTTTGCTGGTTTTTTGTGTTGCCACAGCTGACGAATCCTGGCCTATATTCCTGAGTTTTTGGCGCGATGATGTGCCCTGGTCCCAATGCGTAGTGTTTGACGGAGGAGGGGGGGGGGAATAAAGCACCGGCGCTGTTCTGAATTGTGCGCTTTCCGACATGGAGGGGCATTTTCATGTCATCTTAAAGTGACCTGTACGAGCTAAGCTGAGGACAATTCTGTGCGCTCACCAAGTCGAACTGCGCCCTCATACTAAGGCGATGCTATCATTATTTCAGGTTTTTGACCTCTGAAATGTTTACTGCCTTGGCCTTTCTGACCCGAGCGCAACTTTTGTGTAGTAGCCCCATCTTTTTTTTGTTTTCTAAATGACTTTTTGATCGTGGGGGGGAGGAGATATGACTCCTCAAAAATTTTCAAAATTCCCGCTTGTTCTACCTCACACAGCTTATGATGCATTTTTTAGGCCTTGTGCTATTTGTTGCCAGCCGGTGTCTCGTGCGGTTTACTTTGGAGGTCAAACATATCACTCCGAATGCGCCAATCTGTGGGTGAATGACGTGAACTCCTTACTTCCAAATATGCATTTGGTATCATGAGTTGCAGTGCTGGTTTTCTATGGGGAACTTTATTTGAAATCACTTTGAATTGAGCTGTTTCGCATATGTTCCCTGCATTCCACTCAAACCGAATTTTGCTGTGTTCAGGATG